ACTGTCGTGGAAGTTTATTATCTCTGCATTTCTATTGTGATTGAAATAATTCTCAATTATAGCAATGGCCATAAAATACATAAATCAATGCATTTGGAAGATGCAATTCTAATTTAATGTAAACATTTTCCTGCTAAATTAAAATGAAGCCCAATTTCATTTTTCAGACCTGCTCATTTTTTGTAGCTGCATGAACTCAATGATTTTAATGGAAGCTAAATTGCTAAATCTCTGCACAATGCTTTCAACACTAACTGTATACAAATCCCTTCTCTATGTTTTCAGAATATCAGATTACTTTTTCCCTGACTTGTAGATCAATAAAGGTTGCTGAAAAGTCATTGTTCAAAGGCAAACTCTGCATATATTTGTGAGCTGATACAATCACTCTGAATTAGTGACTCTGTTGCAGAGCTTATGTTGCCAGTATTCTTTCATCACTCTAAGGGCTTTCTTGCTTTAAAAGGAAACTAAAACAAAAGTGGGGATAGAAGCTGTGAAAGTTTGGTAGTTCAAGACCTGTTATATAATACCTACTTGATGGTATTTTCAATCCATAACTATGTGAGAGACCGTATATAGCTCTGTTACACTGGGTGGGTTTCAGTTTACAGTGGGCTTATGCAAGCCTTTTATGAGTCTTACTCTTTGTACCTGAAATAATCGTAAATCACAAAGTGGACTCAGCTAAAACCTCTTCAGTTTGCTCTGGTTTTGGACTGAAATCTTATAAAGCCAGGCTTCTGTATGATTTCTACTAACAATCTCCATTCACAAACCTTACCAAATTTTTCACTGAAACACAGCTACAGTGTATTAGGGTTTGTAATGAAAAATTGAATACAACATGTTTTCTCTTGTTTGGGGTCCATTAGTCTACTAGTTTGGGCCTTTAAAGAAATAGCCCACGCCCCTCTTTCTCTGGAGCAAATGAAGTCTTTGGGAGCAATAATAGGTTGTTTTCTTTACAGAATAAACCTGGAACTAGACTGGGATAAGACACTCACTTTACCAATAGATTTCAAAGCTTTGCCATACAATTTTGCCAGGAATCACAGCTTCTATTTCAGGTTAAGGCAGGTGCTTTTGTGGTTTTCATTCTCTTATCACCTAACTTTGTCCCCCCTGCACTTTTTGTCATTTCCTTTTTTATTCAGGATTTTTTTCTCCTCCTAATCTATACCATCTATTTTGAGCAACAGAGCATACAAGAATCAGTTTCTCTGCTCTCAGTGCCCATGCCTGAAGGCACAACAGCCCATGATGGTCAGGAAGTGCAATTGCAGGGAAAGTCCTTTTAGCCCCCGAAATCCTGTACTGCATTATGCTTACTGTAAGCAGAATCTTTGGAGTCTCAGAACTTGACCATCTTTGGATGGATTTTTACAAGGAAGCCAAAAGAGACTTTCCTGAAGACAAGATAATCTCCCTGCCAAATTTCAAGTCCCTCCTCTGAAACATGAAAGTACTAGTGCGTAACAATGAAATGGATGTAAAATAAATTAACGCTGGAAAAACAATATATGTTTGCCTAAATTGTTCTTGGAAATTACTATATTATTTTTGCTGAAATATGCCTTAGTAATTCAGGTTGAGGAACTCAAATACCACTGATTATTTTAAAGTACAGTTTGGCAAAGTAAAAAGTAGTAGAGAACCAGGTCTTATAATTGAAATGTTAAACAACCTTAACTACAGATATCACTGCCAGTTCCTTCTTTAGTAGCAGTCGCAGTATCATCCACTGGTGGTGAGATTGGGTCCTCATATATATTCTATTTGCTCACAACATTTTGAAACAGTTCCTTTTAAGCTGAAAGTTTTAATGCTCAGTTCAGCTCAAAGACAAAGAATTTTGAAAGTTTGACGAGCTCTGGAATTCCGAGTTACTCGAACATGTAAAGGAATATTGTTGCTCATAAATTTCACAGTATTATTATTATGAACAGCAGAGACTTCCTAGCCTGAAGAAGGGTGATTGTGCCTGAAAACTTGGAAAGAATGTTTTTCTAACTACTCAGTTGGTCTAATAAAAAATACCCAAAGAACCTTGCTTGACAGTATTATTAACAGTTACAACACGGTAACATTTGGAATATCCAGATAATTCTCTGTTCTATAGGCATAGATCATATTGAATTATCACTTATATCAGAGCTTAGTACTCATTGGTAATAGCTGACTTTTACTGAGAACACTATATGCATGTGGATACCTCAAAAATGGCTGAAACTAGAAAAAGTATACTAGAACATCCATGGTGACCTTGCACCAGAGGATATCATGATATAAACAAAACTGAGCCAGGCAAAAATGTTTATAAAATGAGGCAAAACCTATACATATTAATGTGAATTTTTGCCCAAAGATTTAAATATATATTTTACTCTCTTAAGATACCTAATATATTTACCCTAATACTCTATTAAAATGAGTTTCTACAATTGATATCACATACATCAAAGAATAATTTAAGAATGGATAATAGCTATGCTTGCAATAAAATCAGAATATCTAGGGTTACAAGACAGAAGTGCCTGTTTTCAACCATAAATAGCATTAATGCAATGGGTGTACTGTTAATTGCAGAACATTAGAATCTCTGTATATATTGTGGATTAACTTCTGATTTAGAAACTTAAATTTAAATGTGGAATTTTTTATTACTTCAAGAACATCGTTAATAAAGAAAACACCTGTTAAAATGATGAGTTAGGACTAATTCTGAAACCATTCTAACTATTCTTT